TATAATTTGGTATCACTTCTTCCTCAAGAAGATTTTAGCTCTTATCACTTGATTCCCAATTTTAAAATTCAGAAGTCACAAAGATGAACAGAGAACAAATGGCTAAAAAAATTCATGTTAAAATAAAAAGGAAAGGCCACAAAGGCAATAAAGCAATAAGCAGAGCATAATGATATGACAGATAAGGCAAGACAGACGCAAAGGAGAGAGCTATTGTTAAGAAAGTGGGTGAATTATAAAGAAAAAAATAGTTTTAAGTATTTGTTACAACTTCAGCATGTTTGTGGAGTTGTGGAATAAAAGATTAAAGAGAACTGGTTAAAACTGAGCAGTTAGATGTTATAAAGGGAAGACCAGATAAGGTGAAATCTAGAATAGGGTGGGAGGTTGAGGAATTTTTTTTTTTTTTTGAAGGGAGTAGACCACAGAGTCCTAAAGTGTAAGTGAACTAACAGAGCCGATGCTTAGAAATGAGCTCTCCTACTCACTGTGCTAACTGTACTTCCATTCTTGGTAACTACTCAAGAACCTGTCAGGATTGTTTTCTATCAGTTACTAACACTTGCTGAGCCAGAGAAATGAAGACTATACTTGGGAATATACAGCCAGGTGGGAGGAGGAAAGTGTGGAAAGAATAAAAATTCCTGCGAGAATGGAACAACTTCTGGGACTCTTTACTGCCCACACAGATTCATTTATGGTACTCCAGCCCAGGAATTTGGGGACTTGAGACTCATCTTGACTAAGATGAAGCTGCACTGTCCCTATTTTATGTGTTATTTTCATAGATTCCTTCCTTAAAAGGGAAATCTAAGCCCCCAAATTCTGCAGGGTTCTTTCCATGAAAACACCACTGGAATACTTTGAGATACTCATGCATGCACTGTGGAGATTTGAGTCCAGAACAGGATTCAAGTAAAGGGAGACAATGGGCATAACAGATGGAATGAGGTCCCTGAAAAAGCAGAGGACTGGATGTAAGGACTAGTTTTCTAACAGAATGAAGGAGAGACAGGATGCATAAAAACAAGTTTGTGGATGTGACAATGAGAAGTTGAAGAAAGCAGCACAGACTTTTCGGAGTCAGCTGACCAAAGAAATGAAGTAATTTTGCTAGCCAGGCAGACATGTGATCATGAAATAACAGAAGCTCCTTTCCACCTGGGTCTGTGGCTTGCCTAATTTCTTAAGGTGCACTTAATTATTTGAGAGCCTCTAAAAGTTTTGTCCACACCTCTCAAATCTTGTGTTTACTGCAACCAATTTGGCTTTATTTATTATTTTACTACTAAGATATAAAGCCCCTCAGTAAAGTGATGGTTTCTTCATCATTCGATCCCTGAAAGTACCTAGTTTTTGAATGACGTACCATACAGATATTTTTGCATTTATTAAACATATCAAGTGATTCATTAAAAAAATTACTTGTTTCAAGAGTAAGACAGCATACATTGTATAATCAAGAGAATGAACACCCAGAAATTAAAGTATAATAAAGAACCACAATCACCCAAATTTATGTTACAATAAATTTAGTCCAATCACAAACACTAGATTTTTTTTGTCATCTCCCTACTCCAAAAACTAAAGAATGGTGGCCCTGAAAAATTATGAGAATAAGGAAATCAATACTTAGCAAGCAATCATTATCTGTAAGACATACCTCATTTGAATGATGTCACTCAGAATAGAATTATACTGTCAGGCCATCTGAGAAGACACACAGCTTGCTCTCTAGACCTCTATTGCTGTTGTCGGAGTCCTATAATTTAATATAGTCAATCTACTTGTACTTATATAGGTTAGTTACATTAAATAAGTTATTTTACAGATACTTTATAGATGAAAATATTTAAAAATCATACAAGTACCAAGTGAAAGTAACTCTCCACTAGGAAATTACTGAAAATGCACGCAGCAGTCATGTTCAAATAACTCATCACCCACAAAACAAATCAAATTTTGGAAGATTACATCAATTCTTTTAATAAACATTTAACCTTAATTTTTTATTCAACATGGTACTTCATATGCATCTATTTTTCCTAATCTTTTAACTCAGTTTCAGCCAAAACTACAAGCACTTAAAATGAAATTTAAGCAAGAATTATAGCTTATGCATAGAGAAGTCTAGGACATATTTATCATAATTTTGTGAGGCAGTATGATTAGCCAGAGGTGCCCAGATTGAATATTTCTTGTTTGTATTTATGAGGATGTTATGAGATTTAACACTTGAATCAGAAAATTCAGTAAAGTAAGTTGCCATTCCAAATGTGGGTGGGTGTCTAGACAGAAGAAAAAGCAAAGAATGGAGGAATTCACCTTTTTTTCGTGTATCACCGATGCCCTAGGCTATCCCATCTTGTCTTTTGCCCTCAAACTAGGGTTTATGCTTTCAGCTCCCTTGGTTCTCAGACCTGCAGATGCAGCATGGATTACACTACCAGCTTTCTTGGTTCTCCAGTTTGTACAGCAGGTGGTAAGATTGCTCAGCCTCTGTAATAAAGTGAGCCAATTCCTCTCGTCATATATATGAGACAGAGATTGACAGAGAGACTTCCTGTTGGTTCCGTTTCACTGAAGAAACCTGGCTTATATAGTGTCCTCATAACTGTTAATAGATATATTTTACTGGCACTTCCCTTAAAACACCCTACTAAAAACCTAAAGCAAATATAATTTTTTGAAATCCTAGTACTACTTTTATATAAAAAGTTGGAATTTACTGCAAATTTTTGAAATCATTAATAAAAAAGGAATTATTTGATTAAATAAACACACAGTGGACATTTTCAGTGGGAAATACAGTTTCCTCCTAGCTGTTAAGGATATTAGTATCAGAGAAATCCCCATTACTATATTCAAACAGCTCAGGTTATTTTCAGATTAGTTGTATAACATATGTTCAAAATCCCACTGGTTCCTTCTTAGTAGTCTGGTAAGAGCTGGAACTGATATATTTCAGTGGTATTTCTCTAGGAGTTTAAAAAAAATGAAAATCAAATAATTATATTTTAGTATGGGCTACAGCTATTTAATTATTTTAGCATTAATACAAAAGCTTATAAATAGGCTGTTAGGGCTTGGCCCTATGTCAATTCTCAACATGAATCTTTCCATTCTTTTTTTGGCCACCCAGCATCATTTTGACTTCCTTCTCCCATTACAGGTAGGTAAAGGTCAAAAATGCTTAAGTAAATACAAAGAAGTGATGTTTGCACAGTATTTCATTTTTTTAGTAACAGCTTCTCAAATATAGGTAGTTATTAACATATGTGTTTCTTTTTATATGTCCATGTAAAGTGAAAACCATCTGTATTAAGTACTTCTTTACCCGAAAAAAGACTTAAGTAACAATACTTCAAGTATTTGGTATCTTAGTTGTATCTATCTAACTGAAAGGTCTTTTCATGACAAGGGTTTCTTTTTATTGCTTTATTTACTTGGGATTCTAAGACATAAGAAACCAAGAAGTCATAGCTTTCCCTCAAATTATACATTATACACATTGTAAAAGTACTGAATATTAAATAATTAAATATTTAATTAAATATGACTATATATATATATATTTAAGAACTGAAAGGATTAATAGAACACAAAGAAACCAAGTAAATTTCTAGATTCTGAAAAATAATAAAGCCTGTTATTTATTCTCTAAAAACTAACAGACCTATTTCTTTGGTAATTATTAAAGTAGGTACATTTGCAGAGGGTTTTTAGGACAGTGATACTACTCTATATTACAGTGGTCACTATGTGTCATCATGTATTTTAAAAATCATAATGTGGCCCTCCCTGGTGGCACAGCGGGTTAAAGCACAGCACTAAGAAGATAAAGCCACTTCCGCATGAGTTCGATTCCCGCCTGCCCCAGAAGTGACCACATGGCGCAGCAGACCTCTCCTGACCTGCCCGCTGCTCCCCTCAGCAGTGTACTTCATCGATCTGCCTGTTCTGCTCCCCACTCTGTCTCTGGTGATTCCTCTCACCCTCGGCATTTCTGACCTGTACCCCAGTTCTGTATGCACAAATAAATAAATCTTTAAAAAAAAATCATAATGTAAAATATCAAGAATGAATCCATATATGAACTATACACTTTGGGTGATAATGATGTGTGAAAGTCAGTTCCACTGGTACAGAATGTTGAAAGCAGGGAAAGATAAGTATATGTGGGAATGGGGAGTATATGAGAAGTCTCTGTTCTTCTCCCTCAATTTGGCTATTAACCTAAAACTGCTCTAAAAATCAGCAGTTATTGACTTAAAGATTGAAAACTCTACTACACAAAGTGATTTCTCATAAAAGCCCATTTGAGTACTGTCCAACATGCCACTTTCCACAAACCTAATAGGTGGGTGTGTGTGTATTTTTCAAAATGTGCAGCGTCAGAGCATACCTGTCACTAACCCCAGTAGACTATAAAATCAAGGCAGAAGTTAAGGAGATGTAAAATACATATTACAGCTTGAGAGGGCTGCAGCTAGGAAAGGGGGAATTAAGTGTTTAATTGAGAGAATTTTAAGGAGGTACACAGAACACAGGAACTAAAATGAAGAGGGTATGCTTAAGTTACAGCAAGATGCACTCAAATTTCACCATCTATTGCTTGGCATGTGCAGTACAAAGAGAGAAAAAAACATGTAGGTCCAAGGGTGTATGTCTACATTTACTTGTAAAAATAAAGTCAAATTTTCTAAGATCAAGGATGGCATTTGTTTTTCAAAAAAAAACAAAAAAACAAAAACTTCATTTTAGTCAATTTTTATGGCAAATTAAATTGAAATTATGTACACATGAGTTCTGAGAACCTGAAAAAAACTGCAATATCAAATATTTGCCACACAATGTTCTCATGTGACGCCACAGAAAGTGATATTGTGGCTTACAGCACAACAAAATATAAAAGCCTTAAAAACAAAGCAGTGATTATCATAAAACATTCAATTTGCTATTTAAGCTCATTTAATTATACTAATTAGGATGGGCCCTATGGCTGATGTTATTTCAAATCCAAATGAAACAAGAAATGAAATATTTGAGGGAAGAAAACAGTGAAATTGAGTCAATTAAACTTCAACATTCTGGTATCTTCATCTATTCTTGCCAAAATGCAGATTTCTATTTTTGAGGTTTCTTGGTGGTAAATAACTTACAAAGTGCCATGTGATGCTTTATGTGTAAGAAATGATAGTTACTGGGCATAAATTTTTCCCAAATATAAAGGAATTGTAGTGGTTAAATTTTCTACTCAATACTGACCAGCACTGAAACAGTCAATAGTAAAGTCTTCTAAATGTCTGACAGTAGTAACAGAGAGTAAGTATATTAGCTTTTGAAAATCTAGGTAAAACTCACAAAAACCCACAATATCGCAATAAACTATCTATGGTTGATATACTCATTAATTTTATAACTTACTTAATTGCCCTACTAATACTACCTTTTATTATTTTTGCAGTTTTTTTTTTTACCTTGGATCTCCCAACTTTTTTTTTTATCAAGTTTAATCTTCTATCAGATGCATTGCAGACTACAATTATAGTATCAACAAATGAATTGACAAATGTATTGACTTGCCCCTTCTCATTGGTAACAAACTGAAATCGTAAGTCTTCTCAAAGAAAGCCATGTCTTCACCAAATTAACGTGTGAAGTCTTCAAGATGGATTTAATTTGTGCCACCTGATAACAATGTTTTCTGGATTTGTAATTGTTTCTTTCCACTGGTTGACTGCTTCAATGTTATTACTGTGCTCACTTATCCAAATCTGTAAAGAAACAATACATTTAACTTGACACATAATGATAACTGACTTCAAACAGTTTATTACTTTTACTGATGAAAGACAACTCTTAAGTTTGGTTTATACATCTCCAATTGAGCATTTTTTCAAAGTTAGATTCCTCTATTTAAACTTAAATGTGAAGACATGTGTTACCTTTGTTAGTCACTCTCACAACTATTTTATGAAATCCAATTCAATTGAAAAATTCAATGTGCAATATTACTAAAGTCTCCCTAAGAGTTGTTAATATCAGTTCTTATTCATTAAATATATGAGCTTATCTTAAATTAAGCCCAACTTAATTAATCCCAATTATTCAAAAACATTTTTGGAAAGATTAACCAGAATAATTGGTAAACATTATAAGAGGATAGTAAGTAATGTTCACTGTATGAATTCTTGAATTCAAACTCTTTTCCAAATAATAGATGAAGGACAAAAAAACTAACAATTTATAAATATTTCAGTAAAATACATGAAAAAGTGAGTCAGAGTTAACACTAATCTTTGAAAAGTCACAGATTTTCAGATTTCAGGTAGACCATTAATAAAATCTTTTTACCTAAGCTTTTTTCCCCCTCTTCAGCTAAGAGTATAGATTTGGAAGTTAAATATGAGCTGAACAACTGAAACTGAGGTAAAAGAGCATGGAGAGCAACCTCTAGAACATTCAGGGTAGAGAAATAAACTACAAAAGGAAACAAGTTTCTGTGTATTGGCAATTGAGCAAATGTGAAACATATGCTTATACAAGTTGCTAAGAATTTTTAGACAGATTAACACAGACACCAATAGTGACCATCTGAATACCACCACACTGTCAAAAGTTGATGTTTTCTAGAAATTCAAATCTAACGTAATACATATAGTGCTTCTAAACACTACACTGAACATGAAACGAAGTAATTTGCATATCCGAAGACTTAAAAATTATATTTAGGTCCTCCCTGGAGGCGCAACGGGTTAAAGCACAGCATTAAGAATCTAAAGCCGCTTCCACATAAGTTCGATTCCCGCCTGCCCCGGAGGAGACCACATGGTGTGGCAGACCTCTCCTGACCCGCCCGCTGCTCCCCTCAGCAGTGTACTTCGTTGATCTGCCTGTTCTGTTCCCCATTCTGTCTCTGGTGAAGCCTCTCACCGCCCCTGAGCCTCTGGCCTGTACCCCAGTTCTGTATGCACAAATAAATAAATCTTTAAAAAAAAATTCAAAAAAAATTATATTTAAATATTTTGTGTAATTTCCATCACAAGAAACAAGGTGGTTGTAGTGAAAAATTTATCTTCCTTGTAGTTTTTAAATTTGGAAAACTCAAAGGACCTATTTTCTAAATTTAAGCACTTCTTAGTTCTCAGAAGTTCTAACATGTGTTATTAAAATGTCATTTGAGATTTGATTTTTGTAGCAATACTGAATTTTAATTTGTAATGAAGAATTTTACTCTATTCAGCTTCAATTTTATTCTGTATTTCCTGTTAAGAGACATAGAAAAGCATAAAGAAAGAATTCAAGATTAAAAACTCCCTACTTACCTGACCCACAAACTGTTTTCTTCTTACAGAGCTTCGGCTATAAAGTTTAATGAGAAAAACAATTTCTTTTTCACTCTGTGTAAATGGAAAAATGATAGTCTCTCCCCACTTCACTCTTCCACTGGAGGCCTTCAGTAAGCGAGTCTTCTTCTTATAAATCAACTCACCTGAGCTAAACATTGCCACTTTCACAAAAAAACCTATAAGAAATTTAAATATATTAAGGTTTTATTTCTGATACCATATATTATATTTTATCTATTGTTTGTTGTAAAAATATAAATATGCCACTTCTAAAGAGCTGATGAGCTACTGTCATAACAGTAAAACATCCCTAGTACACTTTTTGATTTTTATTACATTTTACAAATTGTAAGCTCAAGTGCATTTAATCTTCTATCCTATAATACCAGTAAAGACTGGAAAGGTATGATAAATAACAATCAGCAGCAAAGACACACTGAAAATTACTACACAAAAGAGAGGTACCAATGCTACAGGCAGCAGGAGGAATTTATTCACAATTTTGAATAGGTAAAATTCTTTGCCTCAGACTCCAGAAGTAAAATGTATAAAATGTATACTTTCTACTCTCAGGGTCTTTAAAATGTCCTGAGTTGTAGATTTTCAGTAATGGTAACTGGTACAGCAGTTTAAGTAAATTAACCTTACCATAGGATTCAATGATAAAGTATGGAAAAAATCATTAAAAACACTTGTTGAAGGCATTAATGCTTGATAAAAAAGCAGGGAAAAACTGGAAAAGGGTTAACTCTTAAAAGATGGAAACTGGACCAGGTAAATTGTAGACTTATACAGCTGTAACTTAAGCTTATCCCCAGTTTTATTGATATACAGTGCCTACCATTCAAGTAGGATGCACAAATTAACTGGAGGAGTCAGAAGGCTGAGACCACTACAAACATTAGAAGGCAGGAAGGGAATTCCCAAGAAGGAACGGTCCTGAGTGTGAGGACCGAGTCTAACTGTGAGGGTCCTGAGTGTGAGGACCGAGTCTAACTGTGAGCGATCAATGAGATCAGTGGTAAGCCCGATAAGCAGTTTAAGTTACAGGAAGACAGGTAATGTAATCAACAGCTTCTGTCAGTTTCTACTGTTGTACTCATTTCTTAGAATTAACCCTGTGTACTCTTAGTATTTTACCCTTTCAAGTTGGCCTTCACTTGCTCATTTTTTAATCTTATGATTATTCCATCTATCTATAATAAGTGCCAGCAGTCTAATATTTTTTGTATGTGCTATCCTTTTTATTTTGATATCAAGTTAACCTTGTTGACTTACATTTTACATGCTCTGGGACAGCTTATATAAAAACTGTATGTGCCTTTAAAGTTTGGAAGAATATGCCAATAAGTCATCTTGGTCTGCTACTTTTATTAGAGGCAGTTCTTTACCTTGCTATTGCTTTAATTTTCTTTCTCTTCTGGAGTGAATTTTAACAATTTTTCCCCAGAAGAAATCAATTATTTTGTACAGATGTCCAAATGATTGGTATAGTTATAAATGGTATTAGTTTATTCCTTTGAAATCTGTTCTGAACTTGAAATTAAATTCTCTTCCTTGTAACAGCAGAATATCATTTCTATTTTTTGCTTGAAATCAACCTACTATAGGTTTGTCTATTTTAGTGATCCAAAGGATAACTTTTGTCTTTTGTTGTCTTTATATTTATCAACTTCAACTTTAGCTTTAATTCCTTATTTTTACTTTCCTGTGTATTTCAAATTCTTGAATTTTCAATTGCATTTATTTTCAGCCTCTCTAGCTACAGTGAACACACATTGCTTTTGCCTAGATCCAGGTATTTCCTATCAGAAAAAGGAACACTCTGGTCCTACTTTTACTTCCAGCGGCAGAGGTGACCTCCAGCCTCCAGCTCTAGGGGCAGCCATGTGAGTCAGGCCTACACAAACAAGTGATCAGAACCCTGAATGTGCCAGAGAGCAGAGAAGGGGTGGGGGGAAGTACTTCAAGGTTCATGTTTGACATGTTTGGTTTTTAGAAATTAAGTTTCTAATTACCAGAGTATCCAAAGAAGGATATAGATGCAGAGAAAGAATAAATTATCTGGGCTGGTGAGAAACATATTGATAGTCTCTAGATACTCAATCTATATTAACTAAGAAGTTAAACAAGGAACAGCAGCAACTGCAGAGAGCGCTTAACTGGGTAAGAATCAAAAGACCAGTGAATTCAGGTAGATACAATAGTTAATATCTGAAGTCCAACAGGGTCTTTTAAGTTAAAATTATTGAAATGTCATTGTTAATCACCACTCTCAAGACACGTAGGGGAAAAGAAAATATCTTTTACTAATATTTTGTGAAGATTCTAATTTGAACCACTGATATACTTACTCAAAGTCAGAGGTTTTGATGAAGTTGGAAGGTATTGTGCCTCAAGAATTTGTAGCTGAATCCTGCTATTTACTGCTTGAAAACAGGTCCCCAACTCAAGTTCCGCGTGGCATACCTGAATATCAAAAAAGTGTCATTTGATAAAGAGTAGTTTTGAGATATTTCAAAAATAAACTATGGTTATGGACTATTTTCAGAAATAATTGAAAGATAAGGAGGGACAATAGGAAATTGAGGAGGAAGAAAAGGAAAAACCATACTAAAAGTACCTGTATATAGGAATGGGGAGAAGAAGAGCAAAGTTAGAAATTCTGAAAGCACTGCTTTTTGTTGACATATAAAACTATGTAGAAGGTTAAAACAAATATATATCACAAATTCTATAAGGTATTCACTTTCTTGAATTCCAAAAACACAAATTACACTTATACAATGAATCTTTCAAATCAGTAAGATAAAAAAATTTCGAGTTAAAAAAAAATTCTTAAGTAGTTTTATTGGAGAAAAATCAGTGAAATAAACACTAACATAGCATACTTTCAAAATTTTTTACCTGTAAGTCATTTGAGTTACTCAAAAACATTGAGTATCATTAAAAATCACGTAGGAGAGTCATTTTTCCTAACTGTGGAAATCACATAGGTGCTTCCACAATCAGAAGACAAAAGGATCACTACAGTGAACGGGTGTGTGGGTTCTGAGCTGAATCACTAACTACATGCATGCAAGGCCAAGAAGAAAGCTGGCAAGAAGAAAGATAGTGAAAGTGATGATGCAGTAAGTAATAATGAATAATAAAAAACCTGAGACAAACAATAAAATGAAGGAGACTGGGGTGGGAGGGGGTATAGTTAAATGTGCTCTTCGACATTGCTGACTAACAGCAAAAGAAAACTGGCAATTTGTCTGAGACAGAACATAAACCAGACCATTTATGTGAATTCCAAAGTCCTTAGAGTGAATAAGACAGAGAAACAAAGTTGTCCAAACACAAAAAACGTTACTATCCGCATGTTGAAGACAATAAGGGAATAAAGCAAGAACATAATGTTAACAGAACTTAACTAGGGCTCAGTACAGACAGACATAAAAGCTTTTGTGGGTTCTGATTCCAACAATGCCACATAATAGCCAGAGGACACTGTTTGATAAATGCCCAATACTCCCCAATAACTGGCTCATGGCTTCCTGAAAAAGAATCTTTCTATAAATACGTCATTGACTGAATCTTGGGCATTTTCTTAAAAATATAACACTGTGCTTTGAAATTGGTCATGCCATAAAAAATTAGGAGTCTCATGCTCTACCAACTGAGCTAGTTGGGCAACTCTGCCCAACTCTGCCCATTAAAAGAGCAAAAAAGCAAACCACTTGAAATAAACTCAACTGCTAAGGTTATCCTCTCTCTTGAAAGGTCTAAAAGCATGGCAGAACTATTTTTTTGTCAACAAATGCTGAATACTGATAAATAAGTGAATGTACTGTTTTTACATTCAAACAGAATGAAAATGGATTCAAAAATCTTTTCACATGAACTAATTTAGTAGCCATATCAAAGTAAAATCTTTGCTGATTAAGAAAAAAATATACTGTTTTTGGTATTTCAAACCTACATTTGAAAATAGTCATAATGTTTACAGACACAAAGGAAATCATGATAAAACATTTTCATTATTTTTTCAATATTGTTTGCACCACAATGTAATAACTTATGAAAACACCCAGAGGCAGCAAAACTTTTGCTAGTGTTACACACTTAAGAGTTAACGCTCATAAAACAGAACAGTATTTGGCAATGATTACTTGCCAAGGTTATTTTACAAATTCAATTTATGTTCCAGGATATTATTTTTCAGACCATGAAAAACTACTCAAGTAGGTTTTCGATTTCATGATAACTAAAAAAAAAAATTAAAATTCCAACCAATTAACAGGTATATATTAAGTATATTTAACAAGCAAAACTGTGCAAGATATGAGATATGATCTCTGCTCCTGAATAATGTTATAATTTTCCAAATAAAGAAAACTTTATTAGCCTCCCTGGAATTGTAGAAAATAAAATGTTAAACATAATTAGAAAAAGCCATGATCTGGGACATCTAAGATATCTTCTAAGAGGGCCATTACATGGTAAAGTTAAGAGAACTGACTCTGGACTCAGAAGTCCCCCATCAAACTCTGGCTCCCCAAATATATGAACTCAGGCAAGTGCTTCAATGCTATGGTTACCACAACAGGGATAGTAAGAACTTCAAGCTTGTAAGTTTGGTGCAAGCACTAAGTCACTGAGAACCAAGGCAGTCATGTAGTTAGTCTCTGTAGTTGTCTAACAAACATTACTCAACACAGAAATTTGAGATCCTAAGTAAATATTGGTTTGTCAAGATCAAGAACTCTTTACTGATGAAACTATAGCTCTCACTTAAAGTCCTGCTATTCATGGTGAAATTACTCTTCATGGAGGACAGATATGTAAGTCTGGTTCTTTCAGAGTCACAATTAAAACATCAGTTCTCTCCGCCCTCCCTGGTGGCGCAGCGGGTTAAAGCACTGCACTGAGAAGCGAAAGCCACTTCCAAATGAGTTCGATTCCCACCTGCCCCGGAGGAGACCACATAGCGTGGCAGACCTCTCCTGGCCCGCCCGCTGCTCCCCTCAGCAGTGTACTTTGTCGATCTGCCTGTTCTGCTCCCTACTCTGTCTCTGGTGAAGCCTCTCACCGCCCCTGAGCCTCTGGCCTGTACCCCAGTTCTGTATGCACAAATAAATAAAATCTTAAAAAAAAAAAATCAGTTCTCCTCAACACAAGAAACAAAGCATACTGCTTTTGCTTTAGGCAATGATATAAAAACCTTCTCTCAATAATATAAATTCATTGCCCCAATATAGTCCAAAAGCTTTTCTTTTAGGTCATCAACCTTTGTAACCCTAGCATCTGGCATACAACAGATGAATATCATTTGTTAGAAATTTAACCAAAATCATTCAAAGTTTTCATTGCAGGTAAGGTTATAATGTCTTAATTCCCCCAGAAAATACCTCTGCTTAGTTATCCTCTGATATATGCATTCAAATTATCTATTTGATAGTGCATTTGTACCTTCTACAAAAGATGGTTGCAGATTACTGTCTACTAAGTTAGTTTTGAAGATGAAAATGAAAAACCCATCATTGTTACAAAAAAAATGCAGTATTTTAATAGACAATAGCAACAAATTAACACACTTTCACTCAGAATTTATTCTTTTATAGCTATTTACACTGACAAATATTAATGCCAAGACTAAGACAAGCCCTTAATAAAAGTGCACAATAGGGGCCCTCCCTGGTGATGCAGCACTAAGAAGCTAAAGCCATCTCAGCATGAGTTCTATCTCCACCTGCCCCAGAGGTACCAAGGAGGTGATCCCACATGGCCAGGCAGAACTCTCCTAATTGGCCTGCTGCTACCCTCAGCAGTGTGCTTGGACAATCTGCCTGTTCTGCTCCCCACTCCGTCTCTGGTGAATCCTCTCGCTGCCCCTGCACCTCTGGCCTGTACCCCTGTTCTGTATGCATAAATAAATAAGTCTTTAAAAAAAAAAGTGCGCAATAAAATATGAAGAAAAAGAGATGGAAGTGAGCCTAGTTTTGTTTTGTTTAAAACAAGTAACCTAAATAATTCTACATTGTAATCAATACAATACAGAAGACATACTGGGGATGTATACAGAAAATAATAGATAAGAAATTTCCATCCTCTTTAATCAATTATAGTGATCCTTTGTTTTTTTACTACTTAATTCCTAATTTTCCTGCCATTTCAGTGGTTCTCAGGCCTGGGCTACCCAACAGAATTACATAAATGATATAAATGCCTTTGCCCTTATAAACTCTTATTTATTACTAATTTCTATAAATGTTATTCTGTCATAGAAACTATATTAAATTATGAGGAATTTTTTGTAACACATTAAAGACAATATTCACCTGGCTAATTGAGAGAAGTAAATATCCAGTTTCAAAAACATTCAATACTATAGATAATAAAGCTCTTGGAAAAAAAAGACTATAGATAATAAAGCTCTTGAAAAAAAAAAAAGACTAAGAGCTTTTATTCTACCCAATTTATGAGATGATATACAGCTTATTTATGATTAAAAAAACTTTCTTAATCTAGTTCAGCAATCTTTGAATTTGGAGTTCATAATTCTTTCTTGCTTTTCCTAGGTTAACAACAACCAAAACAAATCGTTAAATAATCCTATTTAAATAATCTTAAATTATGTATTAACTTTAAACTATTCCTACTTCAGGGTTACTTTCAGGTGTCATTTTCTCATGAAGTATGAAACATTTTTTAAAAATGTACTAAAAGAAGATAACTGATATTTCCTCACGCAGAATCAAAAGGGAGTCTGTCACATTTATCAATCATTTTAAAAATGTTTTAAATAATGACATTATTACTACTATTGCTCCTTGAGGGTCTTCTAAGTACTCAAATTATACTCCAACAAAGACCCATCTATTAAACTATTATATGTATGAAATACTTTTAATAATATATACTACTATCACTTACAGGAATTTTTGAAGGTGGTGTTATATCCAAAGAGTAATCCACTTCCTGTGTACTAAGATTTCTGAGTGATAATGAGCATTCTCCAATCGTCTTCTTTCTGGGAGTCTGGGTTTGAACCTTAAATACAAGCCTTACAGTTTGTAGACTTTGGAGTTTAATAGCAAATACAAAAGTTTCCATAAAGTCAACAGTCTAAAAGGGAAAACAAATATATATATATATAAAATAAAAATAAATAAAAGGACTAAAGGAAGAGATGATACAAAATAACATTTTATACTCAGGAAAGGTAGAATTTAATTTTTTTATAAAAAACATTCTTTTTAAAATCAGGTGCATTAAAACATTGTTTACATTTTTATATCAGTGTTCATTTTTGTACAATATTTGATTTCTCCTCTTAGATGTAATCCCTATAAAATTTCTACCAACAAGTCACCCATGAAGCATTGCCACAGCCCCTTGTGCTTTTCCTGCCTGCTGTTTTAATCTTTCCCTCCCCTCCTCTGTAGGATATCTCTTATTTATGCCTTTCTTAATTTCATATGTTATTATTTTAATCACTTAGACAAGAATTCGGGAAAATAAGAACACCACATTCACCAAACATGGTTTGTCCCCTCTTTAGGAAAAAAAGGATAGTTTTTTTTTTGGTAGTTTCCTGTCTTTGGTTCTGGGGCATCTTTTCTGTGCTTCACCACAATTATTCAACAGTGTGGGTCAAGTGTGATTTATTAGTAAGTGTTCAAGAATTTACTGTGAGCTCGCAGAATCTAAATGCTAAAACACAAAGCATTTCTTTAAAAGAGCTATTCTTTGTCTAATGTTCTTTCCCTCTGTCTTGGGCTGCAATCTCTTTTGTTGATGCTTGTTCTTGTGCTAATCTGAAAATCAGCCTCACTGATCGAGAAGACTAAACAAAATATTAAAATACACCTTCTCTCGAAACCAGCCCTCCCACACAGCAAGTCAGTGTTTACAATGTTCAGAGTATTTTTAAATGTTCTTTGTTATTCCAAACGTTTTTAGAACACTTTGGCTTACCACAGGCTAACATTTTCTTGACTCTTATTCTTTGTTATATACTTTCTTCTTCCCATCTTGAGAACATCTGTTTGAAATTGAGCAGTTTTTTTTTTGATACTTAGGCAACTAACGTCAGCATTTTAGATATTGTGCCCAAACTGGTACTGCCATTACAACTGCTTGTATCTGTGTGAATTAGAATTGTTTCAAAGTACCCCCAACTATGTGAGCTTCTGTCAGAACCTCAAGATAGAGTATTACACAATTAATACAGGATAAATAAAATGGTTAATTTTTAAACTCAGATACAATGAATTTACAAATGAAGCATATGTAGTTTTCTTCACATTTTGCCACAAAGGGGTCTCCTTTTGTGACCAACTTCACAATTAATAGTAAATTTTAAATGATTCCAAGCAAGTTTTAAAGAGAATGTTTTTTCACTAACTTTTGCTCTTCTACTTAATTTTACCTGAAAATCAAAAAGTGAAATTACTTAATTCAAGAAGTATTAATCTGTCAGGATTATAACCAGGGTTATAATTCAGAGTTAGGATTCATTTCTATCTAGACATTCCATAAAGTATATTTTCATAAAGTAAGATGTACATAGATTACTATCGTTCATTTATTAATAACATTTCCTCTTTCCATGTCTTTCAAAACTTTTCCTAATTATTCATTCTCATAGCTACCTAGTTCCATCATGTGGTATTCTTTCCTCATGAGAAGATGGCCATCTAAAGACACAGACACAGAAGGAACAGCATGTGAAGATGGATGCTGAGATTAAAGCAAGGGATGTTGAGGATGCTGGCCAAAACCAGTAGGAAGGGCACAGGTGTGGGGCAAGTTCTTCCTCAGAGGAGGAATCAAACTGCTGGTACCTTGATTTAGGCTGCCTTCAAAATTGTGTGAGATAAATTTTGTTATTTATTTGGGTGTTTACCACCCAGTTTGTGGTTCTTTGTTTCAGAACCCTGGGAAATTGCTACACAATGATATGCCCCCCATATAAGACATTTAGATTCTATCCAACTTTTCTGTTATGAATAAAAATGCCAAGAATATTTTACTTATCTTTACATTTCTTAGATTATTTCCAGGAAACAGGTTACAGGTAGAGTTACTTTGTTAAAAGTACAAATACTTTAAGGCTTTGATGTTTAGATCAAAATAATTTTCAGAAAGTTGTGCTAGGTTCCTTGTAATTTTTTTTCCAATTTTAAAAGTAAAAAAAGATAAAAGAAATGTGTAATTTAAATTTATATTTCTGTGATGACTAATGAGAAATTTTTTCCCTCATGTTTACTAGTCATTTGAATTACCTTTTTAAATGGTATGTTCTTCGAGAAGATACAGTTCACTAATACACAATTATTTCTCAAAGCCAATGTGAAGTGTGGGGAGAAGATGAAATCTATTTATTTCTTTTCCTTTCACAAAAGAAAAATAAACTGTTTTCTTAGATATTGCTCCTCTATTAGTGACTGAGAATTTCTTTAAAATGCATCGTAATACTGGACAATGACACAGGCTTAAAATTGTCTTTACAAGCAAGGAATACATAATTTGTAGTTTTGCAAAAATAACTCTTCTACGAAATGCTATTGATTTACTGGTTTTATTGTTTATACTATCATGTAACTTTTAGGAGGAAGCCTCCAACCTCAATGTGTGTATCTGCCCAGCCCCCCTCAGTGCCCTTAGATGAGTAAAATGACCCTGGTCCTCTTTTCTCCCACCCTCTTCCCCTTTCCCTCTGGTAACCATCATACTTTCTAGAGCCTAAGACTTAATTTTGTTGAAAAATAACACTCTTACATGGGTTAAAAGAACAAATGAGAAAAACATAAAAGAAATTCAAATACAAACAGCCACTTACACTGGAGCCTTCCTTGGCTGAAGATTTAAAATTCACTGTTTTGGGCAATGTTAGCATTCCTTTTATAGAAATAGTAGGATTCTCTCCATAACTGGACGGCCAAGTTAAATCTCTGCACTAAAAAATTTAAAATCCAGTTTGAATTTTGCAGAAAACTCTGACAATGCAAATATTTAATGTACTTCTCGAGTTAATGCAAATAAATACTTTATAGAAGTAAACTGCAGTCCACCAAAGCCTCTTGTTTCATCTACATCAAAATAAGTTGACATTTAATGTTTTGGCATCATATCAAATTCCTTCTTGAGGTTAAAAACAAACACACCTCTATCATGTCCACAGGTTTATTATCTGTAGGTTCTTTACTAAACACTATTTTCTTAAAAAACACTACAGAACCCCAAATTCCAAAAAAGTATTGGCCCATACGTCAAAAGAAAACAGTAGGTACTTAAATAAATTTTGTACAAGGAGTTGGTCTTAACTATTGATCCTTAACGTACCTGTAAAAGCGTGATCCAGATTTGCTCTGCTGAAGAATTATAAAACACTTTCACATTCAGTCTCCCCAAATCTCTTTCATCTCCTGATAGAGTAATTGTGTCTGAATTGCAAAAGGACAAAGATGTTGGAATGCCATGCAAGTCATCTAACCCAATTCAACTTTGATATCATTCAGTTTTCAGAGAACAATTTTTAAATGTCAAAGCTATTTTTGTAAGTTGCCAGTTTAATAAGATAAAATCAAACTTCAGTGTTTTTTACTGATGTGCTGGGGGTAATATACACTATAAAAAGTACGTGGCTTATACTATTCAGTCATAAAAAAAGAATGAAATCTTGCCATTAACAACAACACGGATGGTCCTTGAAGGTATTCTGCTAAGTAAAATAGCAGACCAAGAAAGACAAATACTGTATGCTCTCATTTATAGGTAGAACCTGAAATTCTCATAGATGGCAACAGCAGACTAGGGAATGCAGAAGTGAGGAGGGGCAGAGTGAAGCTGGTTAAGAAGGTCAAATGGTCTAAATCTCCAGCACAAAATCTACATATAAGGGGGAACATGCAGTCTTCAGTCTTTCTGTCTGACACGTTACTCAGCATACGCCTTCAAGATCCAGCCATGGTATTGCAGGAATCATACTTTTTCAGGTGCTAAAAGAATCCTCAGGACAAGAAAAATTTTTTGCACCCACGTATGGGATCCATGTTAACTACGCTTTTGTGGTGATCACTTTGCCATTTGTACAAATATTAAGTTATCATGTTGTTTACCTGAAACTAACAATGCTATATGTGAATTATACCTCAACATTTTTAAAAAGTTTTTTTTTTTTTTAAAGATTTATTTATTTGTGCATACAGAACTGGGGTACAGGCCAGAGGCTCAGGGGCGGTGAGAGGCTTCACCAGAGACAGAGTGGGGAACAGGACAGGCAGATCAACGAAGTACACTGCTGAGGGGAGCAGTGGGCGGGTCAGGAGAGGTCTGCCGTGCCATGTGGTCACCACCGGGGCAGGCGGGAATCGAGCTCATGAGGAGGCGGCTTTAGATTCTCAGTGCTGTGCTTTAACCCGCTGCGCCACCAGGGAGGGCCCTTTAAAAAGTTTTTTAAAAAATGGTACATGGCTTAAAACTTTAACCCAATCACAGCCTGAGGGATTAAAGTAAAAAGAAGAAAAACTTTCCCAAATAACATAATAAAGCCTTCACACTGTATGCTTTTGGAAGATCTTTCACTAATATATTTCCAAACAAACAAAAGATATTCAACTGCTAAACTTTTTCAAAAGAAACATTCATGCCTGAATGCTAAAAGAAACATTCATGCCTGAATGCTAAAAGATGGGCCACCTCATCCAGAGAGGTAGGGGAAAAGGTGAGAAGTTGGGGAGGGGCATGGAAAGGGACAATGGTAAAGGACTATGGATTATTTGCTGGGGGGAAGGCTACAATAACTGACTACACGTGGGGAAGGCAACCTTCTCATGTAAAATTACTAGCAAGAGTATAAAACAATGATACTCAAAAAAAATTAAATAAGGACCCTCTGATCTGAGTATTCATATGCAGATAACACTGCTGGCATCAATAAAATCAAGTCAAGATTTTTTTTAACCTTAGACTTAAGAATAGACTTTCATGCAAATGGCCAACAGGCATATGAAATAATGTTCAAGGCCACTTATTATCAGGGAAATGCAAATCAAAACCACAATAAGATACCAACTCACACCTGTGAGAATGGCCAATACTAAAAAATAACCAAACAAATGCTAGCAAGAATGAAAAGAACCTTCTTACACTGATGGTGGAAATGCAAACTGGTCTAGCCACTATGCAAAACTGTGTGGAGGTTCCTCAAAACACTAAAAATGGTTCTAGCATATGATCCAACAATTCCACTCTTAGAAGTCTATCTCAAGGTCACAAGGACACTAATTTGAAAGGAAATCTGCACACCTATGCTTACTGCAGCACTAATTACAATATCCAAGTTATGTAAACAATCTTAATGTCCCAAAACAAACCAGTGGATCAAGAAGATGTGCTATATACACATAGTGGAATACTACTCAGTGTTGAACAAATAAACAGATAAATTTACACCATCTGTGGCAACATAGATGGAGCTGGAAGGGGTTATGCAAAACTAGAAAATAAGTCAGGAGGAAAAAGAAAAATATCAGATGGTTTCACTTCTATGTGGAATACAGAGAAACCAAAAAAGGTATCAAGAAAAAAAGACAAAAATTCCAAGCTGACAGTAGATCTGAGGCATCTAGCAGGGGAGGGAAGGACAGAGGGAAGAACACAGGGACTGTGGTGATGCATCATGGGTGCTAAGACAGTGGACTACAACTGAGGAGAGAAACCAAGTGCTCTCCAAAAATTAAAAAGCTCTAAAAAAAATAGTAATAAAAATAAAATACAGACTTTCAAATTACTATTGGGTAGAAATATTCCTCAAAGAATATAAAAAAGGATACTTTATTCCTTACCAAGGCTTCTGTTACTCCCCTGAGAATTTTTCCTTGAGGAAGAACTACTGGGCACACTGGACAATGAATCATGTCTCTACAAATAAAAGAGTTTTTTTCAGTCAGAAATTGCAAATCAAGCTTTAAGGACTCTGAAACTTATGTCCAAATACTCACCCTAGTGTTAAACTGCATGCTAGCCATTTTGCCAGCATTACTGTCTGGTACATCTTACTTTCACAAAGTAAAGAAGAAAACAAGCTTTTTTATGTATGCTATCAGAAAACTCTTAAAATCTTAGTAGATAATTTATGGGGTCTTTGTTCTTTTTGGTCTGGTTTTCTAAGGAAGAAAAAGATTACTGCTCCTGTGTCATATTTGGAAGTACTAATAAAAAAATCAGAATATTATTTGAAGTTCCTGTCACCTAAAAACCTATAAAACAGCAGTCATCAAATCATGTTCCCTCTGGACTAGCAGTAGCAGCATCATCTGGGAACTTACTAAGAAAACAAAAACAGGTTCCAATGAGGAGAAATTGAATCAAAAGCTCTGGGGGATACCTTAACAAGTCGCCAAACAATTCTGATGCATGTTAAAGACCTGGTGCTATATAGAATTAAGTCTATAAAAAATTAACTGGGGAACATTAAGGATTATTTAGAATACATTTCCATTTTAATAAAATACACATAAATATGATCAAATGGAAAATGGGAAAAAGTATATAAAACAGTATTTCCAATAGTACTTCTATTTTCAGTTAGAGGGGATAAATGGTCTTTTTACTTTATATTATTTTCTAACCCTTAAATAATAATCAAGTAGTACAAGTTTATTTGTATTATTTTTTAAAAAATTATATTTTAATCTGTGTTATATATTGTTATAATTATCTTAAATATAAAAATGTCAATTATATGTCCAATATAGAATATTATATTAATAGTAACAAGTAATTACGCCCTCCATCTCAAAAGAAACACTATTTTTTACTAACAAGGAAATTATGTTCAATAAGCAAAGTTAAATCAATAAACACTTTTAATTATACCATTTTAACTTTCAACTGTTCCAAGATTGTTTGAAAACATACCAACTGAGAGGTTTAAACACAAGGAAAAATACTGCCTTTTAGTATTTGAGAGCTTCCTAAAATAATGCATGTGGGAGAAGACATGTGTTTAATTTTATTCTTCAGCTATTATTGACAGACTAGATAAATCAGAGAAGAGCTACAACACGTTGTTCTAATGTGAGTCTGAATTTTTAGCTTACATAAATAACGGTATACAATTAAATGTCTATGAGTAATTTACCTGGACGAACCGCTGAGATGAACTTGTAAGATCAAACATAGACTTGCTTAGCCCGGGGGAGCTGGGAAGTTTGCTGGCCCTTAAATCACAAACTACAAAGGGGCATGACATTGCTTATTTTTACAGTAAGGAAAAAAAACACTGAAATTCTACAGAATTACCATCAGCAAAATCTCTATAGGAATACATCATGAATATTACAGGCAAATCTATTTAAGATTGACAATATTAAAATAACTTTTCAATTATTTTAACTTGGTTTTAATTAGAAACAACACATTTTTACATCCACATCAAATTATTAAGTAGGGGAAAGTAATTTTTTCTGTTTGTATTACCTAGTTCTTCATCACCAAACCTGTGGATGTAAGTACTCTAAATACAACTCTACTATTTAAAAGGTATATTACATTGGAAAAAAATCAACCTTGAATCCTATGAGTCAGGATATTTCTAGTTGCCCTCCTAAATTGTAAGATCCCTGAAGAATGGAATGCTGTATTCTACTTGTGGGTTCTAGCACAGTACTGAAAAGTATGTGTTAAATATCGAATAAAGTAAACACATACTCAGCTTCATTTTCAGTACCTCAGCCTGAGTTCAGTACTTGAGGCACTAAATCAAGAGATACACACACAGACAGAGACACAGGATGCTCAAAAAACTAACAAGAATTCTGTCAACCAGACATGTGAAGACAGGCTGTGGTGCCTTGGTGACTATGTGGTTGTGACATCCGGCTGAGGAGGTGTGATCCTGTGCCTCTGAACCACGTAGCGTGTTGGAAACCAAAGTAACCGCCATTTTAAAAAAAGAACAAAAAGGGAGGCTGTAATTGATATGATCTCATATATTAAACGAAGAAAAGGTCTTTAACATTTACTTTCCCTATTTGATTTTCTAATCATCTTATACCAAGAAAAAAGCTATTGTAGAACTACTGCATTGCTTTACATAAAATGTAATCAAGTAATCTGAAAATAAAAATAAATATTCTTTCAAAAAGAACTATGACTACATATATCTCACTATCTTTCAATTTCTATGCTACATAAAATGGCTACAGAGAAGTCATGGCATTTATCACATCACTCCTCAAGCTGCTTTGCTCATTTTTTAATTGTTTTCCTGCTAAAAATCATTTTTTCACTTGATATTTAATTTCATTCCTACATTTGTTAAAGAGAAATATAAGAGGAAAATTATGAAATAATCTTTCTGTACCTGACCCATATAATCTCATTGTTCCTGCATGAGGAGAAAGGCGCCGATTCAAATCAGGTGAAGCATGCTGGTATATATAGAATGGGTTATACACATCATAGCTGGGCCCATGCTGGGATGAACTGGAAAGCTCTGCCTTTCGATCTCCAAAAGATGCTCTGGCAGATCCTGAAAGCAAGTGTTTCCAAAGTTTTACAACATCACTTTATAGAGGTGTCAGCCAATAGCTGATCACCCAAGGCAAAGGGGAGAAACCCATTTCCAACAATATTAAATCACATGTATTTGATACATTAAAAAAACGCACACAAAAACAGCCCACATTTACTGAGTTCTGTGTAGAGTATTCTGCCAGGGATCAGTCATAAACCCTGATCTCAAGGATGTTTTATGAAACTTTTGACATTTTTCTTTGTATCACAGACAATTTTGTTATTTCCCGACGATCTTCCTTTCATTTTTCTATTTACACAAAGGACATCTTTATAAGGATAAAGATTATCTTTCCAGAGATGCACTCTTTCCACAAAAAGAAGTACAGAACATTTCTAAAAACACACCACATGCTGAGAGCAAGTCTTAATATATTTGAAAAGTTTAGAGCATGAAATCGTGATAGTATGTTCTCTAGTAATAATGCAATAAAGTTAAAAATCAAATAAAAACGATGAATAGAAAATATTAAGATGGGAACAAATAACTAAGAAAAAGATAACATTTATGAGTAAGAAACAAGATTGAAAGATTTGTTTTACTGCATATTTTTCTTCTAAGTTTTATTTATTTATACATAGAAGAACTAGGGTGTAGGCCAGAGATTTGAGGGGCACAGAGTAGAGAGAAGGCAGCAAAATAGGCAGCTCTACTGAAATCCACTACTGAGGGGAGTGGTGGGTGAGACAAGGGCAGTGAGATTTATTTGTGCATACAGAACTGGGGTACAGGCCAGAGGTGCAGGGGCAGTAAGAGGATTCACTAGAGACAAAGTGGGAACAGAACAGGCCGACTGACAAAGTACACTGCTGAGGGGAGCAGGGGCGGGTCAGGAGAGGTCTGCCGCACCATGTGGGTCACCTCCGGGGCAGGGATCGAACTCATGCTGAAGTGGCTTTAGCTTCTTAGTGTTGTGTTTACCTGCTGTGCCACCAGAGAGGGCCTGCTACATGTTGATTTTTAATCCTGATTATTTTATTGCTTACCTTCAAGTTCTTCCAGATGTGAAGGGGTTCCTTGTGTCCTGGGCTGGATGTAAGATAACTTAAACCTGGGCACCACAAATGGTACTTCCTTACCATTTGATGGTAATTTGGAAAGTAAATAATCCTCAGTACAGCCAACCTGAGGCTTTATAGAAACAGAAGTCAGTGGAGGAATACAGATAGTAGTACTCTGACCATTTGAGACTGTTGCTTTAAAGTCTCTTTCCATGGAAACTGCATATAAAAAAAAGAAAAAAATTTGAATCTGCATATAGAATTTTAATAAGTTATATATAACTAAATAAAACCATCATAAATTAATTTATAACTAAATTAAAATAACTAAACTTAGCATGTTTCAGTACTTATTTAATCATCTTTTATTTTAATTTAATCATCTTAAAAGAAGCTGCTATTGATATAAACTGCTTTTGGGCCCTATTGAGCACTTTTGGAACCTACATTAATTCTACTCAACCAATATTTGATGAGTTAATATACTGTTACTAAAATATATTAACTTAGCAGAGTGGCAAAAGCAGTTTTTTAGAGTTTCATTCATAGAGTACACAGGAGTGCACAGACAAAAAACAAATTTATTTTGTAGTTAATTCCACAGTACTTTTAAGTAAAATTTGGTCATTTAAAAATATTGTCAACAAAGCAATCCTTCAAACAAAAGTCTCACAAAATAAAACACACACTGACCCTCCTGTAGCAGTATCTCTCCCTGGGCTAGCTTCTTTGACTTGAACTTTTCCATTCTCTAGAACAGTGCCTGATTCCTAAGCTGTGACTTAAGATAGTGAGGTTAAGGGCACCCAAAGCTAATTATTATGTATAATTAGTATTGTCTGTAGAGTGAAAGTACATTACTATGGATAGGCATTTGTGAACTGTTTTAATGTAAAAAGAAACCTTCATACACATATGTTATCAGGAAGTCATATTCTAGAATAAAAATACAAAAAAAAAGTCAGAGAAAAAAAGTTTGAATCATAACTTTTGAACAGATGAGGAAACCGTATAATAGAAACCAGGGGTTATAGATAAATATGGGTCTTGATAAAGTTATAGGTCTCTTCTTATTCACGAAAAGCATTTTAACACACTGTTCATTAAGTAAAAATTTCCTTTATTTAATTAAAGCATCTGCCAAGATATTTGTTGTCCCCAAACACACCCAACACTTCTCTTCTGCCTTTGCCTGTACTATTTTATCCAACTGTAACACTCATTTTTAATTCTCATCTTCTCTTACTTCCTTCTGCCCACTCAACTCGTTAAAATCTTCTTCAGACTTTCCATACCAAATGCTGTTTGTGGTGATGTCCCAAGGTGTCGCCTAGATTGAATTCTCTCTCTCCCCCATGCTCCAAGGTACTCCAAGGTAATTTTAGCTCACCTAATATGCTTTCTACTTGTTTCTGCTTCCTTCAAAGTCAGACAATATGCCTCATTTATCTCTATATTACAAAATGCCACAAATAAAGAATTAAATAACTGTTTGCTGAAGTAAAAAAAAACCCCAAACTCACAATTGTGTTTTTCCTTTTCACCATAGAAACATCCTCTACAACAACTCTTTACAAATTCTGCTGCCATTACATTCAATTTCCAATATCCAGCAAGATACAAGCTTGCAATTTTAATATTAACCTGTTGGTAGAAAAGAAAACAAGTTGAAATGATCATTTATAATGTCAATAGGTATCACTAAATCAATCATATTATCTGCCTGAGATGCAATGAGGACTCCAAAGAAAAAGTGGTTACAGTATATTAGATTTCTGTTCCTATATGCAATTTGTATAGACTCCATATAAGTTACTAAAATGATATACTTAAAACTCTAGAAAAAAATAGAAAAATTCCACTCTGAATTTTCTATCAACTGATATAACTAAATCAAAAATATAACCCAGTCAAAATCTGAAATCTTTATATGGCATTATAAAGTATAAAAAATTTCACTTTTTCAAATCAATTTTTTATATCGACCAATAAAAATATAACTTCATATTTTATGAATTAATCTTTAGATTTACACTAACAAGAAAACATATCTTAAACATTCTGACATGCACACACACACACACACACACACATCAGCTAAGCCACAAATAAGACACAGTGGAAATACAGGAGTCTTTTAAATTTACCAGGAACAGAAAATTGTCTGAGAACTTCATGGCACTGCCCTCAGTGGCTTCAATAACTACCTCATGCAAATATTAACTCAAAATTTATGAGCTCAGTTCCAAATCATGGGTTTGGGGTCTGCTGGAACCTCAATCCCCTCCTCGCAAAATCCTGCTAACCCTTGTTTCAGAGTTCCTAGGCGACTCAGTGTTTTCCTATTGCTTCCAAACTTTATCTCTTTTCTTTTCCTGGGTGAAGTGTTCTGGGCTTATGGGGTATGGAGGGGAGAAGGGATCCGGATTCATATCTCCCTCTCTCCCTTTCCCCCATTATCTCTCACCTTCCCCAGCATCCTGTTGAAATTTTTCCCTTATCAGTTGTCTTTATGGTAGGTTTTAATCCTAGCATCCCTTTGCTGCTGCCATGTTAGCGACATCACTCTCTCCTTAAGCCAATAATAAAAGTATCCTCTATAAGAAGACAGTTGCATACCATGCCATTTTAAATTTGTGCCTTGACAAATAACCCAATTTAAAAATGGGCAAAGAATATGAATAGACACTTATCCACAGCTAGATGAATTACCAATAAAAAGATGAAAAGGTGCTTATCCTCAGTTATTTGGGAAAAGCAAATGAAACCCACAATGAGATACTGCTCCATGCACAGTAGGTGGTTGTAATCAAGAAAGCAGACAAAACTAAATGTTGGAAAGGATGTAGAGAAACTGGGAACCTTGTTCATTAATCATGGGAAAGAAAATGGTGCAGTTGCTTTGGAAAAGCTTGGCAGTTCCTTAACTTAAGAGAATTACCATACAATCCAAGAATCTCACCTCAGTAAGTATACCTGTAAGAATGAAAACTATATTTTTGCACAGTAACTTGCACATAAATGTTCACAGCAGCATTATCCATGACAGTAGGTACACCTCAGTAGGACTCTTTAGTCCATCAACTAATGAACGGAAAAACAAAATGTAGTATACCAACATAAATATTATTTATTCAGTGATAAAAAGGAATAAAATATTATTTATTCAGTGATAAAAAGGAATAAAGTACAGATTCACACTACAACATGTGTAAACCTTGAAAACATAATGCTGAATGAAAGAAGACACAGGAGACCAGATATTGTATGATCTCACTCATATGAAATGTCCAGAATAAGCAAATCCATACACAGTGAAAGGAGATCAGTAGTTTTCAGACATTGGGAGGAAAGCAGAAATCAGTAACCGCTAATAGATACAAGATTTCTTTTGAGGGTGATAAAAATGCTTTAGAATAGTGATAATGTTTGCAAAACTTCATAAATACATGGAAAAAACACCAAACTTTACACTCTAAAAGGTAATTGTATGATGTGTAGATATATCTGGAAAAACTTGTTTATTCATATTGTGACATGATTTTAGACCACCAAGGTGATGTGAAGTTTACCCCCCACATACATACCCCACCTGCAGATGATTACAACTTACCAAAGACAGCCTTCTTCTTCCCCTCCTCTGCTTTACTTGGCTTCAAGGCAACTTTCCCTGCAGACCTCTGAAGGCATTCAAGTGAGTTTTCATCCTTCCCATGATAGACCTTCAGGATCCTGAAGTTATAGGAAGAATGTCTCTTGTTAGTTTAGTTTACCTTGCATGAGACATGAGCTGACTTCTAATTATGCCCCCCCAACATGCAAATCCACAAGTTCTTATTCAAGTCTCCCCAATTTAGCATATATTCTCAGAGCAAAGACTTAAAGGTTCCTTTTGTCTCAGATTTTCAGCTTTCCCTTAGATTTTGACATGCCAATCTCTACGTACCTTTTAAAAATGCTGTTTACAGCATTCTTAGCATGAAAATTTTTCCAAAACTACATTTTCAAAATGAAAACCCCAATCTGAGATAGGGCAGGGTTTACAAAAGCTAAAGCCAGCATGATCTAGACTATATGAAAGTAATTTTAGTATTACTTGTGACCAAAGTAGATATTTAAGAATTAAAGAACATGTTATACTCCAATAAAGAGCTTATTACTGAAAACAATCAATTTGAAGTCACTTGTTCTCTTAGGTGTCAAAGTTTTTTATACAACTAAATTTTTAAAAGACTGTGGAAAGCAAAAAGACACCACAGAGAGAATAGTCCATAAACATGCACACACATATGAAAACCTGACATACAATACTGGAAGAACACTAGAAGAAAAAATAGAATATTGCAATGTCATTCACCATATCAACAACAGACAAAGTCATATAACCATATCAATGGATACACAGAAGGCATTTAATAAGATTCAGCATCCACTTATGACAAAAACTCTTAGTGAAATGTCAAGAGAAGGAACATGGCTAAACATGATAAAGGTCATATATGCCAAATCCACAACTAGCGTCATACTCAACAGTGAATTTTTCCTCTAAGATCAGGTACACAACAAGGAAATCCACTCTCACCACTCTCAATACAATACTGGAAGTCCTAGCTAGAGGAATTAGACAAGAGAAAGCTATAAAAATAATTTAAATTGGAAAAGTAAAACTATCATTATTTGAAAAAATATGGTAATACTGTAACATAGAAAACCCTAAAGACGCACTAGAAACTATTAGAAACAATAAGTCAGAATAGCAAAGTGGTTGGCTATAAAATCAACATGCAAAAGTCTATAAGCAAATAATAAATTAGAAGGACGAAATCAAGAAAAGAATTCTGTTTACAATATCATCAAAGTGTATTAAATAGGAATAAACCTAACAAAGAAGTGGAAAGACCTATTCAATGAAAACCATAAAACATTGTGAAAAGAAATAGAAATGGAAATATCCCATGCTCATGAATAGAAGAATTAACTTGTTAAAATGTCCCCCTGGGCCTTCCCTGGTGGTGCAGTGGGTTAAATTTAGCACAGCACTAAGAAGCTAAAGCCACTTCAGCATGAGTTCTATCCCTGCCTGCCCTGGAGGTGATCTACATGGTGCACAGACCTCTTCTGAACTGCCCCCTGCTCCCCTCAGCAGTGTACTTCGAAGATCTGCCTATTCTGCACCCTACTCTGTCTCTGGTGAATCCTCTCACTGACCCTGCATGTCTGGCCTGTACCCCAGTTCTGTATACACAAAATAAAAATATATATAAAAAAATGTCCCTCTTACCCAAAGCAATTTATAGGATCAATGAAGTCTGTACCAAAATTTCAATAAACTTCTTCAATAAAGCAAATGTTACTGAAATTTATAAAGAACCACAAATAAGCCAAAGTAATAACCACTGAATAGCCAAAGTAATCTTGACAAAAAAGAAAAGTAATGGAGGTATCACATGCTATAATATCAAAATAATATGGTATTGGTATAAAAATAAAAACATAGCAATGGAATAGAATTGAATGCCCAGATATAAAACCACTTTATTATGTAGACAGTTAACCTGGGTCAAAGGGGCCAAGAGGATATCACGCAGAAAGGAAACTCTCTAACAAATGGTGATGGGAACACTGGACAACCACGAGCAGAAAATAAGAAACTAGAACACTCTCTCATGCCATGAACAAAAATTAACCCAAAATGGATTAAAGACTTGGATGCAAGACTAGAAACCATGGAATACATAGAAGAAAACCTAGGTAAAACACTCCACAACCCTGGCTTCAGGGTTATCTCTGGGGAATCATCTCCACCCACAAGCAGAACAAGAGCAAAGATATGAATGGGCCTACATCAAAATAAGAAGCTCCTGTACATCAAAAGAAACTATCACTAAAACCTAAAGACACCCACTGTTTTGAGAAAATATCACAAGATCTTCAAAGAATCCATTTAACTCAACAAAAAGAAAACAAAGAATCAAACAAAAAAATGGGCAGAAGAGCTAAATGGGCAAACACTTCTCCAAAGGCACATGAAAAAAAAGTTCAACATTTTATCATCAATAAAATGCAAATCAAAATCACAATAAGACACCACTTCACTCCAATGAGAATGGCCCACATCAAAAACAACCAACAAGTGTTGGTAAGATGTAAGGGAAAAGAAAAAAAGTATGTAGTCCAAACAAAACCAAACTGCAAAAAAATGCAAGTTGTGGAACAGACAAACCTGAATAATGTATCCTTTAGGTCTATAAGGATATAGTAAAACCACAGAAAATCAAGGCGCATGGAAAGTGTACAGCACAATCAAGGCTGCAAAAATACTGATTATTATTTGCAAACCATGACAGAGGCATTTACTTTATGCATATTCTCTAATCTGTAAATGTGTCAAAAGTACTACTTTGCATATCTGAAACAACCTATAATTTAAAAATTAATACATGATGGAAAATTACAGGAAAATAAGAATCATCAATAAATCCATCATCCTGCATCTGATATTAACTACAATATTTAACTTAAAAATATACTTAAATAATATGTTTTCTTCTATTGTGTATTTTCTTTACAGCTTTATTGAAGCATAATTGCATTATAGTAAATTGCATATATTTAAAATATATAATTAAGTGAGTCAGATATATGTATACACTGGGGAAAGAATGTTCACAACCAAAAAAACAAATATAGCCATCATGCCCCCCAAACGTCTCCTCATACCTCTTTTCTAATCCATTTCTCCTTATTTTCCCTTGCCCCTACCCCCTGGTAACCACTCGTCTGTTTTCTGTTACTCTTGTCTAAATTTGCATTTTCTAGAATTTTGTCAGGCATAGCTTTGAGCATACTTTACGTGTGTTTCACTTTAGTAGACTATCAAAAAGTTTTCCAGAATGACTGCACCAATTTAAACTTCTAGAATTCCAGTTGTTCAACCTCCTCATTAACGCTTGATTGTTGGCCTTTTCCATTTAAGCCATTCTTTTCATATTTCCAAGAGAAAAAAATATATAAAACTACTTGTCTGAACAACAAAACTAAAACTTCCAATCAAGGTTTAAGTAAAAACTTAAAGTTTTTAACCTATTAGCATTTTTCCTTGAGTGCATAATTACTAAAGTAAAGGCCCTAACTAATGTTCTGATTTAGAAAAAAATGTCTGATTTCTACATATGATTTTTAGAAAATCACTGAGATACACTCAAAAGAATCACATGACTTAAAGGTAAGTTGGGAAAATTAAACTAGTGAAACTGAGAGCAAATACAATCCAACATAGTTACTGAAGTGCAATGTTAACTCTGATCACACCTGAACCCAAAAGGCCAAAATACCATTAAAATATGCCTATAATTTGAGCCGGGGAGAAGAAATACTTTCCCATGACTTGTTTTATTCAATATGTTCAGCAACGTGAGAACAATGCTGTGAAGTACACCTTAAAGTAAAATTATTCTATCGTCTTAGTTTTCACTCCAATCTGACTATAAACTTCCCTCTACCTACCTTCTCACTTCTAATCTTTAGTTTCTCGAACCAAGTATTCTGTGCTCATTCTCTTTGTCTCTTCACACTCTATGCACTGCTCAAGTTCATTCAAACTTGGCTTCCACCCTTATCGTTTTAAATTATGTTTGCTGAGATCAGTGACTACCATCACCCACCCCCAAATCAATAGATACATAATGAATTTCTAGCTTCCTAGTCCCTCTGACTCACCTGACACACAGACAGACTTTTTCACCTCATTAAAATTAAAATCTTTTCTCTTCTGGCTTTTGTAACTCCACAGGCTTGCTGGTTTTCCTCCTTTTCTGAATGCTCCTCCCTCAGACTTGGCAGCTATCTCTACCCTTCAAATATTGGTGTTTCCAATCTCAAGTCTTCCTGTCTTCATACTCCACTCAAATAATTCCTTCCACTCTCACAGGATTCGCTGCTGCAAGTCCACAGATGCTTCCAATTATCTACAACTCTAATCCTGACTGCAGAAAAAGCTGGTACTAGTAGATGCAGTGGCGCTGGCCAGCTCTGCCAGGTGTCCCAAAAGAATCTCAAGTTCATTTTCTTTTAACCTGAGTTAGACTTGGAATTTGTTGGATTTACCTGTGAATGCACAATTACGATTCAAGTGGAGTCAATAAATTACACACCCCGCAAATATTTTTTCGTGAAAGATTTAAAAAAGGAAAATTTTATGAAGACTTCTGTCTCCAGTTATGAGATAACTCATAATCACAAGCAAACAACAACCAAACCCCCACAAAATGCGAGACGACTAAAAACAAATCTCCTAGAAGCCCAAGTTCTCAAATGCAAGCAGTATCAACGTTTCCTTCCAGGAAAAAAAAAAAAAAAAGCTTGTTAAGCACGGTAAAGGTACGTATCAGTGCATTAAGTGGGGGCGAAGGGTGACGCTGTTGCTCAGTCTCAATATTTTCCAGACTTTTTTTTCAGTATTAATCAGGAAAAACACGACTCTATTCACTGCCTACCTGGAGTGCGCATGAGCCAATTATTTTGAATGCAAAAGCAACCTGCTACATGCTGCATTTTAAATATTCTAAAGGAATATTGACTTGGCACCTGGGTACAAGGTACCCCACAAGTCGCCCCGCCGAGAGGAACTTCCTATAGCTAAAGCAAACCACAGCTACCAGGGATCAAAGACAAATCTAAATTGAAAACCCAGCTGGGGAGGTAACTCTGCTGTGTGTTTTGCAAAAACCACAGGCGAGCGACATTTTAACACCTCTTCACACTCCTTTAAAAAGTTTCAGGAAGAGAGCGCTAACCTACTTATTTTTTAAATTTTTTAAAATTTATTTTTACATCATTCTTCATTTTGCGCCTTTTTCCATCTCCGTATCATCTCCGTGGACTTCGCACCACCAATTCGCCCGCGTGCCACCACCACAGCCCCGAGCACCTTTCCCACCCCATTTTTGATCCCGTCCAGGCGCAGGAAGTCCGTGCTCCCGTTCTCACGGTCAGGTGCCAGCGCGGCCCCCCACGGCCGGGGCCC